GCAACATGTTAATAATAATACAAGATAATAATAATAATAATATTCTAAAATAATAATTAATAAATAATAAATAATAAAATAATAAATAAAATAATAAACTAATAATTAATTCGTTCTATAACAGTAACCTGATTTTATTTTGGATTTTAAGTAAGTTTTACTTTTATTTATTAATATTTGTTTTAACATGACAATTCTAATTACTCAACTATAATTATAGGATAGAATCTCTTTTTCAAGTCGTACAATCTGATATTCAAGCCTATTTTTAGAAGGATATTTGGCAGTTATCTCTCAATCGTTTCTTTAAAGTAATTGATGAAGAAGCAATATTTACAACTGAATTTAAGGATGCATGGCAGATATTTATATCCAAATATCTTTTAAAAATAATTAAAGAACTATTGGATGGTGAAAAGAAGCTCATTAAAATCAAAGATCTAGATTGTATTACTTTAGACTATGATATTTACGATGCTGAAGATGTATTAAATCTCAACAATCCCGACTTTAAAGCACTATTAAAGAAAGAATTGAACAAAAAAGGCAGAAGCAAATAATAATCTATTATTATCTGAATCAAGATTACAATGCTTGAGATATATTAAATCTCAATGATGCCGATTTTAAAGCACTATTAAAGAAAGAATTAGACAAAAAAAGTAGAAGCAAATAATAATCTATTATTATCCAAATCAAGATAGATATAATTTATTAAATATATACTGTAGTATATATGTATATTTAATATTGAATAGTGCAGTATATATTGGCAATAAATATTTGAGATGACCTAAGAGAATTTCTAAGTTTATGTTTCATAATAATTAAGGTTCTTATAAAAAATAGTATAATAAATAATAAGAGGTGTGGCGACTTAGTGTAGTTGGTTAATTGTCACTCTCCCAAGTGGCAGGTCTAGAGTTCGAATCTCATAGATGACGATTTTGAAAAATAGATCTGCGTTATGATTAACGATTGTTGATTATCAGTTGGATCTTAATCTGTAATCTTGGTCATACTATCTAGTAATAGGAGCTTTGGCGCAATAAATCCAAGGAACTGGAATAACCAAAAATCTGTTTGGCAAGTCCTGAGTTGGGATGAGCAATGATCTTCGATGGTATCACAGGGGGGCTAAATTCAAACCGGGGCCCGAGATCGGAGAACTGAGTGACCAGGTCCTATGGTGGAGAATACACTAGCTGAACCACGGATTATCACATCAGAGGAAAAGGGTATACACTCCGAAAGTATGGACCAAGGGGAGGGCGTCTTTCAGGCACCTAAAGCCTAGGTAGACCGACCTATCCGGATTGTCGGCTGGAAGTAAGGAAGGGACCAGTAGAGAATCTGGGTAAGGAGACAGTTCTAAATGCGGGTACTAGAGTTGTTGGAAACTTTACAAGGGCAGTGAGTACATAATAGGCAACTAATTAGAAAGGTTGTGCTTGAGATATGGATCAGATTATGGCAGCACCCAAAAGTGGCTTAAGATATGAACCTGGTAGCGGCAGTACAACAGGTACTAGTTAGATAAGAAGTTACTGAACATGCAAGTGAATACATATATGGAACATGAACCACTCTGTTAGGTTTACCTTGTGGATAAACTAGCTTTAGATGGTTAGTAAGTTCTAAGGTGGGTGTGAAATCTACAAGTGTTGCAAAAGCTACTACCGAATAGTAAGTTATATCTTGGTTAGGTGGTGGTTAACCGACAGTTAGAACCAGAGGGTTTAAATGAGTACTCTCCTAGTTGGAGTGCAGATATGGCAGATAGTGTAGAACCTTTGGGCGGACTATTTAAATTAGGCACTCAAAAGGTGCACATATAGCTTGATATACCCTCGTTGTAATTGTATAACATTATCGCTACTTAATAAAAAGTCCCCAGCCAGAGAAGTTACCTTAATACCAAAAAAAAAAAAAAAAAGTATAATAAATAATAATTCACATAGTAAATTATTAATTTACATATATCAATATCAAAATACAAATTTACTAAACTTATATAAATACACTTGCCATACAAGTTGATAAGATATGATTATTTTAACTGCTAATGGGTTTGGAAGTAAATTTATATAATATATTTTTTAATAGTATCACAGAGTTTATCAAACTACTGTGTACTTCTTGATCTTTAATATTGCTTGGCTAATATACAATGACTGGAGTATCATCACACAGACAACAGTTTATTTACTAAGAAATGGTCAAAGAACTTGTAAGAACCAAAATTAGGCACTCCCTATTTGAATCGGTGCCTTATATATTATTACTAATAAAAAAACTAACAAAAAAAAAGAAAAAACAATAATTACTACATTGTTCATGCAATCACTATTTTTTAGACTTTTAATTAAATCGTGATCACCCAATATCATATAGATTACACATAAATTAGATTACAACATTCATACTTGATTACTAACCATATTAGTTATATGAGTATCGCAACAATAGTGAAAGTGAACTATAGTCCTACTCATCAATACATGGTTTGATTACTAATAAAAAAAAATAAAAAAACAAAGAACAAAATAAATAAAAAAAATAATTACTACATTGTTCATGCCATGCAATCACTAGACTTTTAATTAAATAGTAATCACCCGATATAGATTATGTATAAATTAGATCACGACATTTAATAAACACATACCCAATTACTAGTTATATAAGTACCGCGACAATAGTGAAAATAAACTATAGTCTGCAATTATTAATAAGCTCATATTTTTTTTAAAACAAAATATAATAATTTTCAGTTGATTTTGTATCGAGGTAGGACTATTCTATAGTAAACCAGTATAGTATAACTTATCAAATAAGTATAGTATAGTGTGGTATACATTATGTATAGTAGATATACAATATGTATAGTTTTTTAAGTTTAAATTATATAGTACATAGTATTTTTTTTAGAATTTATTTACATGGTGTATAGTTTTAATACATAGTATTATACATTAAGTATAATTAAAATTTATTTTTATACTATTTAGTAATTATAAGCA